TCCTCACAAATGTTCTATGTCTGAGGCCAGTGTTCACAGCCACTGTGTCAACCCACCTTGTTGAGGGTCTTTCTCTTTCTCACTGCCCCTTTACCAAGCATGATGTCCTTCTCCAGCGTCTGGTCTCCTGACAACATGCTCAGAATACTAGAGATGATACCTTGCTCTCCTCATCGCTAAGGACCACTCTGGCTTTTCCAAGACAGATGTGTTTGTTCTTTAGCGGTCCACGGTACTTTCTGTCTTCCTCCGCAGTACCATCATTCAATGCATTGAAAGTTCTTCTGCCTTCCTTATGCAATGCCCAACTTTCACATGCATTCGAGCTGCATGAAATCATGATGGATTGGGTCAGATGTACCTAAGACTTCATAAGTGGGCCTCTATAAATTATATTTGAATTTGGGGCCCTTCCCTGTCAGAGGAAAACAGCCTCTAACAACTGAAGGATCTGTAGGCGAAATTGTACGGCAATAATATATATAAAGGTTATAATAAAGTCATAGAAGCTAGGAGAGATAGGAGATAGGAGAGGTAGGAGAGAGTAAAATAAAAGAGTCAGACACATTTTATGGTAGCATGCACATCTCAGCCCCTCTTGATGGTCCACGTGGAGGTGGGAGAAGAGGGAGAGAGTGTGTCTTTACTATCTTGGGATATTTCTAAGTAGCCATTAGACATGTTCAGTAGTTAGGTATGTCACAAGGTGAGTGGTAACCACAGTAAAATTCCTAAGATCGGAGAGCCGCAGCGCGGGAGCCGCGGAGTGAAAGGGAGCGCCATGTCCGCGGAAATCCCTGAGGCGGCCTCGGCGGAGGAGCAGAAGGAAATGGAAGATAAAGTGACTAGTCCGGAGAAAGCTGAAGAAGCAAAATTAAAAGCAAGGTATCCTCATCTGGGACAAAAGCCTGGAGGTTCAGATTTTTTAAGGAAACGATTGCAGAAAGGGCAAAAATATTTTGATTCTGGGGATTACAACATGGCTAAAGCAAAAATGAAGAACAAACAACTTCCTACTGCTGCCCCAGATAAGACGGAGGTCACTGGTGACCACATTCCCACTCCGCAGGACCTTCCTCAGCGGAAACCATCCCTTGTTGCTAGCAAGCTGGCTGGCTGATTAAAGAGCTGAACTGCAAAAAAAAAAAAAAAAAATTCCTAAGATCACAGGTGAGGAAACCTAATGCCTGCACTGGGGGAAGGTAGGAGGGGGACTGGGTGCGCCAAGGGAGGAGATAGCAATAGAACGTCCACTCCTATAGGAAGATAGAATCAAACATGTGCTCGCTTTAAGGCCACATAGCTGTTAGAGGAGAATCTGTACGAATGATAGTTAAAGCAGAATTATGTACTTGAACTTTATCTCTAACTTACCAAAATGATGGCTTTCCTACAGTGGAATACTAGCTTTCCAGAGTTAGGGAATATAGTCCTAGTCATATTTCTCTCAGTGTTAGTTTAGTTTCCCACAATTCCCTCTCCCAAATGAAATTAATATTTTTGTTCTGTTTAACTATGACCTTGACATTTGAGAGTTACATCACTAACTCTTCTGGAAACAAGCCATGTTTTAAAACCAGTGTCTTGCTTCTTAAAATATTATATTGTAACTCTATTAACTGTGAATTTATATTTTGATAGTTCCCAATTATAAGGCTTTAAATTATACTGGATTTTCCCTCCCCATTTACTGTATCAAATTCTCCAAACTTATTTTCTAGTACCAATACACTCATGTTACTGAATCAGTTTTTCAGGGTCCTGGGCATTTAGTGGTTAAAGTGCTGAGAGGTCAACACTGAGACAGGGAAGGGAACCGAGATAGAACTGAGACAACCTCATGCTCTTAACATGAGGTTAAGAGCAGCTTGATTAGGGCAGGGAAAGAGCTCCCTGGAAGGAAGGGAGAGCAGAGAAAGAGACAGGAGCATCGTGAGCTCCCAAGTGGGTTCCGAGACCCAAGGAGTTAGGTCAGGGCAATCACACCTAGCAGTGAGGCAGTGGGACTTCTATAGGGTCCGAGCCAAGGACATATGCATTGATAACGGGAAGGGAGGCTTTTAGTCCTGCAGCTGCAAGGCCTTGAGGCTGGGGGAACGGGTGTGTGGACCCTGCCCTGAGAGATAAGCTCCTCAGAATGCTGGTGGCAGGGGCTGCAAGTCCAGCAGATCGTTGTCCTTCTGAGAGGCTGGGGGATGGGGCTGTGTGGTTCTGACCTGGCCCCAACACCAACTAGGTGGTTCGAACCCACTAGCTGGTCTGTCTGAGAAAGATACAGTGGCTGTGCTGGGGGAAAAGAGGTCCCTCATTCAAAGTGTTAAACGGGACAAAGACAAGACAAAGATACTTCATGTGAATGAGAGAGACCATGATTGTGTCCGAGGATTCAGAGACACAGCCATGTAAATAGGACACGGTGAACAAAGCAAACTGTCACAAAAGCACGATGGACACAAATCAGTTCATCACAGTTGCAGGAGGGACTACAGAAGTGGGAAGAGGGCCCTGATGGGGGATATGTACAGTACTCTACTGTCGATTAGAAAGATTTACAAAATTGACTCAGGGCCCTTAGTCAGGATATGACCCATGACTATGTGACTCTAATACCACTGTTTTAATCAACGACACAGGCAGGCAAGTTCCCAAGGGCCAGGTTGTCCCTCCCTGAGCTAGCGAGAAGAAATCACAACCATCGAGTAGATTCCAATTCCTAGCAATCCTGTAGGACTGAATGGTATTGCCCTTGTAGGATTGGAGCCTGTAATTTTTTACTGGAGTAAAAAGCCTCATCTGTTGTCTGCAGAGTGGCAGGTGGTTTCTAACTGTGATTGTTGCAGTTAGCAGTCCAATGGCTGCCCCCCTGCACATCCAGGGCTCTTACTGGGCACCACAGTGTTCCACAAACCTAGTCCACAGCATTTAAGTTCTAATACACAATTGGCTTCCTAAGATTACCTTGAAATCCTACAGCACAGTTCTGTCGTGTCCTGTCGGATTCCTGTGAATTGGAATCAAGGGAATGGCAATGAAATTAGGTTTTTGGTTTGGGGATGAGAGTTTACTTCTCCAAATGTTAACCGTGGGAATTCATCGTTGGGATCAACCTTTGTCCCCAAAGGTCACTTGACCATGTGATTCAAGATACTAGGCTCCAGGCACACACTCTTCTGAATCTGGATCAGAAAACGATTACAATGCAATTACTATTCTTTGTTTCTTTTGCAACGAACTGTTTCAATCTCAGTTCATATCTCAGATGAGAAGCAACGCCAAGGCAGTGTAAAGGGGAAACTGAGGTACAGGGAGACAACCGGCATCACTGACAAGATAAGGGAGAGCAGAGACAGAAATAGCTTTCTTAGGGGAGCTCCCAGAGAGGTTCCATGACCTAAGCCAAAGGTCAGGGAAGTGGTGCTCAACAGCTGGGGGCAAGAGTTTTTATAGGGGTGGTGAGGAATGTATGGAAATTAGCATATGGGGTCTGGACACTCCTAGAATTGTTTGTGGACTCCTTGGGGCTTTCTTTGAACCCAGAGCATCTGGTTCCACCAGTTATCTTATCTACCATCTGCTGCTGACCTTCAGGGACATGCAGGGAAGCAAGTGCAGGGCCCTGACCTGCTTCAGCTTAGTCCAAACAGGCAGGCCTTTTAGTACAGTCAGGCCTTGACATTTGTTGGCTTCCATGGAAGGGAGCTACGAAGCCACTTTTTCAGAAGAAAAAAATCTCACTGCCATCGGGTCAATTCTGACTCATAGCAACCCTACAAATAAGAGTAGAAATGCCCCCCAACCCCTCCCTGGGGGTGTGGGGGAGATGGCCAAGGCTGTAAATCTTTATAGGTGTAGAAGGACTCATTTTTCTCCCTCAGAAGGGATGGTGAATTCAAATGGCTGGTGGTTTTGAACTGCTGACCTTGCACTTAGCAGCCCAACATAATCCCTTACACTGCCAGGGCTCCTTCCAATCTATCATAGTTCATAAAACAGAGCAAGATAAAGTGGAGTTTGGGTGGGAATTTGGGCTTCCTGTGGGGGGTGCCTGGCTCTAGCGCCTCCTATAATCTCCCTCTCTTCCTGTCCCATCCTTATCCAAGTTAGCCAAAGGAATGGAGTTCAATGTGGTGGTTAGATTTTATATTAACTTTGACCTGGATGAAAGTGTAGGGATAGGGTCTAACCTACCAACTGGGTCACAGTCTGATGCCACCTTTCGGGTTGGCATTTTCATAAGGGAGGTGCTGAGAACCCTCTCTCTCTCTTGCCCTTCAGCTTCCCTGATTGCTGAAGATGTTGGTGTCCTACCATGCAGACCCTATACCCACAGGCCTGTGATCTCTCTCCTTGTTCCTTGGTTCTAGCCATCAGCTTGCAGCTACATGAGCCTTCAGAGGCTCCCGCTAGCATCGGATGCATGGACTTGAGTTGGATAGGGCTGGGATGCCTTGTTGATATAAAATCACTAAGTTCTTTCTTATGCAGGTATGAGTGTCACTGTCTTTGTTTCTCTAGACAACCTAGCCTGACAAACTCAATATACGGTAATTTTTGTAGTCATTTTCAGGGAGACTACGTTTCCGAAGAACAACACTGGTGGCACAGTGGTTGCCGCATCCTGCTCCCCACTGAAAGGTGGGTGGTTAGCAGCCACCAGCCACTCCCAAGGAGAGAGGCCTGCAGCTTCTGTAGAGATGTACATACAGCCTTGCGAACCCGATGGAACAAGTCTACTGTGCCCTATACGGTGGTTTGTATCTGAACGCTGTATCCCAAAAGGTTGGTCGGGGTTAAGACTTTAAGACCCCCGGAGGAGCCCAGCAATGTCTCCATGCACCTTTCTTGCACCATTCACCTACCTCCCCCTGGCGCAGATCCCTCGCAGGCGGCCCGCCGGTCCGGCAGGTGGCGCTGTGGGCTAGGAGGCAGCGCGTCGCCACGCGGGGATCCGGGATTGCGGCGCCGCCCCGCCGGTCTGCTCCCAGATTCATCAGCATCTTTGCCGGCCTCGGCCCCATGGCGGCTTCAGCCGAGGCGGCGGCGGCGGCGGGGACGCGCGTGTTCCTGGAGGTGAGGCGACAGCTGCAGAGCGCGCTGCTGATCCTGGGGTAAGGCCGGGGCTGAGCCCGAATGGCGTTTCCGCTGCCAGGGGCCGAGAGGCGGGGCGGGAATTTTGAGTTTCTTGTCTCTGCCTTCCAGTTGCATAGAGCATCTTGCGGGAGAAAGACGAGGCTTTCTGATTCCATTCCAGTCTCCGAAAGCCGCAGGGCAGCTCTACGCTGCCCTGTAGGTTCGCGATGAGTCGGAATCAACTCGATAGCCGTGCGGGTGTTGCGTGAGGATCTCTTGATCCTGCAGGCAGTGGATCCCTCCATCCGGTGTGCACGGCCACTGACAGCCTCGGTGTGCTCTGAGCGTGCTCTTCGATAGTTGATGTATGGATTGGAACAGGAGTTGTACGAGCCCCCAATAAAATGATCTAAAAAAGAATACAGAGTTCCAGTCTCATCCGAACTTTCAGAACCAGAATCTACATTTTACCCTAACGCCCTGGATTCAAATGCATATTAACTTTTGCGGAGCAGTGACATGAAATAAACCTGCAGAGATTTGGCTTTTACAACAAAACAATACAAAAGAAAGAAAAAGGCTCTTCTGCCTCTCTAGGGGATCCTCGTTTTGGGATCCGTTTCGATGTGTGAGCTTCCTCGGCTCATTGGCCTTCATTCTCCCTGCTCTCACCGCCCCCTCCTCCCCCCGGCCCCCCAGGCCCCCTCAAAGAGAAAAATGTTGTTCAGTGCAGAGAAACTGACAGTCTCTTAATAAACGTGTGTTCCATGAACGCTTAGCAAAGGTTGGGGGCTCATTATTGAAGTTCACCCTTTTATTCATATCCCAAATTCTGATGAGAGGTTTGCAAGCATTTAAATCCTTATTCACTACATGAACAAGAAACTTTTAGGGAAACTATTCTCTTTGCATGACAGCAGTTTTAATAGTTTGGAGTCCCATTTTCCTGTGACCGCTGCTTAGAATCGAATACGTTAGAGGTTAAAAATTCTGAGAATATCATTTTTATTACGTAGCACCACACTGAGATGAGTCGGTGCGTATTTAGCTGCCCTCTACCAGTCTTGGTGGTGTGGAGGTTACACATGGGGCTGCCATCAGTCCAAAACCACCAGCAGCTCCCTGGGAGAAAGGCTGGACTCTCGACTCCTGCAGTTTGGCATTGGGCTGTGACCTATAAGATCAGCAGTTCAAAACTACCAACCACTGTGGGAGAGAGGCGGGGTTTTCTACTCCTGTAAAGGTCCAGTCGCAGTCTCGGAAACTCGCCGGGGCAGCCCTGGAGGCTTGCCGTGGGTTGGCATCGACTCCATGGAAGCGAGTTTGGGTTTGGGTTTCTCAGGAGGTTTTACTCCTCTTTTCCCTGCTGCCGGAGAGCAGAGTCAATCCAGGGCCGAGATTGCTCAGATTCATTAGCCTACCAAAAAAAGTTCTGCTTCCCCTTCTCAAAGGGTTTCTTCAGTTTGCTTGTTTCCCAGCCCCACCCCACCCCTTCTCTAAGCAACTTAATAAATCCAAGTTAGCTGAACGGATCCATACTGCACGCACGGCGTCTCAATCCATTGGAATCAACTCGCTGGCCACTGACAACAAGAAGCATGGATGTGCTTTACTTATAAGATGCTGCCAAATTACTCTCCAGTATGGGTACCCCTGTACACACTAGGGAGGGGCGGATCCGTTTCCATTGTAGCGCATTTTCACTTACATTAAAGTGGTGGGTGTTCCCTGATGGTAGCCTTTCTCGTCGGTATAAACTGGTATCTCATTGCAGTTTTAATATGCATGTCCTTGATGCCGAACAATATCGCGCACCCTTTCATTGGCTTTTTGGCCATTCATAAGTGTTCTTTTGTAAAGTGTCCTAAAGGTTTGCCATTAAAAAAAAAAAGATTGGGCGTGTCTTATTGTTACTGAATTGAAGGAATTCATTAGTTCAAAAAGAAAACCTTTCTTACTGTTTTGTGAATATTTTCTCCCAATCTGTGGCATGCCTTTTCATTTTCATCATAGTCCTTTCCTTAGTGAGGCAAAGAAAAAATAATTTTAATGAAGTCCAGCATATCAAGTTATTTTAAGGTTAATTCGTTTTTGTGTGTCACACTTACCTCAAGATTTTGAAGTTTTCAAAGAGAGAGACTATATAGTTTACCTTTTACACTGAGCACTGTAAGCCTTGTCAAATTAATTTTTTATATGGAATAAAGTAGATAAAAAATAAAGTAGCTCTTCCCCACCCCCACGAAGGATATCCAGTGTTCTATTACCACTAGACCATCATTTTCCCCACTGGAAATAATAGCATCTTCTTTGAAAATCAATTGGTTGTGTAAGTATGGGTCCAGATCTAGACTTGTTCTATGGATCTGTTATCTTTTCTTAAGCAAATGTGGCATTGTCTTGATTGTTGTCATTAGTGGCATCCAGTCCTGTGCCATCCTCACAATAGTATGTTTGAGCCCATTGTTAGAGACACCGCCCAGTGCATATTGTTGAGTGCCTTCCTTCTTTTTGCTTCTAAGAATATGGCTGTACTTGTTCCAAGAAAGCTTTTATTGATTGTTTCTGGTACCCCACGATACATTTGATATGCCTCACTCATGTCATAGTTCTAATAAGTCAATTCTTCCTCCTTCATTGTCCATGCATGTAAGGAGGTTTGTGTCAGCCATACCTATACATCGCAGTGACATATATTTGCTTTTTAAGATTTTAAAGCTGTCTTTATAGCACCCTCGCCATTTCAAAACTAGCTCCAACCTAACACCAATGGGGAACTACCAGAAATTCAAGCCAGCTTCAGAAGAAGACTTAGAGTAAGATTTATCATTGCTGGTGTCAAATGGGCCTTGGCTGAAAGCAGAGAATACTAGAAAATATGTTTACTTGTACTTCACTGACTATGCAAAGCCATTCACGATGTGGGTCGTTACAAATTATGGATGAGTGAGCAGATGGGAATATCAGAACACTGAATTGTGCTCATGCAGAACCTGTATGATGATTGAGTCTGTCATTTGAACAAAACTAGGAAATACTGCATGTTTTGCAGTCAGAAAAGGTATATTAGGATTGTACCCTTTCACCATACTCACTCTAGTCTGTGTGCTGAACAAATAATCCAAGAGGCTGAACTATAGGAGCAACACTGTATCAAGATTGTAGGAAGACTCATTGTGTGCAGAGGATACAATCTTGCTTGCCATGGGGATGAGGATTTGAATCACTTACTGATAAAGATCAAAGAGTACATAAAGAAAACAAAAGGCCTAACAACTGGGCCTATAAGCAACATCTCAATGAACCGAGTTGTTGAGGGTACCATTTTACTTGGTTTCTCAATCAATGCCCATTAAAGTAGCGATCAAGAAATCAAATGAATTAACGTAGCTTTAAAGAAAATCTTGAAATGAAGTAGTGCGAGATCTCCAGATTTGTTCTTTTCAGGTTATTTTGAAAATATTAGACATGTTGCATTTCCAAATAAGTTTAACTCTGTTTGTCAATTTCTTGGGCATCTTTGTGGCACAGTGCTTAGACCTTTGGCTATTATTGAAGAGGTCGACCATTCAGTAATAGAGGGAGAAGCCCTGGTGATCTGCTTGCATAAAGCCTAGGGGCCACTTCTCTGTCCCACAGGCCCTTCTACCTTGTTAAATATATTGTATAAAGCATTTCTAATATCCCCTCATTTCCCTTGAATGTAGTAATTTAAGCAGTTTCTCCATTTGTTCATGATATTGTTAATTTGTTCTTTAACGCCCCATTTAAACAACATCAGATTGTATGTATGTCTTCCTATATGGGTGTTTTTGTTTGGTTTTATTTAGTTTGTTTTTTGTCTTCTTCTTAAGGAAAACAGTTCACCTTTTATTATTTCTATTTCCCTCTACTGATTTTTCTTAAATTATTTTTTTCCCCTTTATTGATTTTAAAGACTCTGTACCCAGACTATTTGGAGCACTGGACTATGGGTGGACTACTGGGAGCTGACAGTGAGGCCATGGATGTGGGTGCAGGCTCTGGGGCATGGTATGATGGCAGGTGGACGGGGATGCTCTAGGGCCTGGGCAACTCTTGTTATTCAGGCAGAAGGAGCAGCGGGCATGCTGCATCCTTCTCTGCTCACTCCGGCCGGCCAGCATCCTCTGAGTGATTGTCACTGCTGCTCGCTCCTCAGTCCTCTGACTTCTACAGCAGTTGCAGTGGTAGTAGTGATGGGGATGACCAGAAATGGGCTTCCATCCAGTTTTAATATGGCGGTTTTCCAACATCAAACTCATTCAATGTCCTTATTTGATATAATGCATTGTGAACATTAAATGATGCATACCTATGCTACCTTTTATTATCAGTATGTTTATAAATGTATATTTGTATCACCTTCACCACATTATCACGTCTACCCTCTAGCCCATGACTTTCCCTCCCCTCCTCCCCTTCCTCCCTGGTAATATATTCTAAAACATTGTATGTAGTGCTTATTACTAACAAGTTGTGGAGGGAAAAAAACCAATTATACAGCTGTAAGCATAGTTTGTTGTAACTCAAATGGATCTTATGTCACAGACTACTGTACTTTCAATCAATTATGTATGTAAAAAGTTTTTGTTTGTTTTTTTAAATAACAAATTTGAGTATTTTATATTCATTTTTGTATTTCAGAGTTAATGTAAACATTGATATGGTTGAGTTTTATTCTTCTAATCTTAAAAGAAAAACCTGTAATATTAACTCTAACTTAAGTATGGGTTTGTGAATTCTGATTGTTAAATTTCATCGTTTCCTTAGTTTACTAAGGATTTTGGCCATAGATAATAGATTTTTTCTAATGATTTTCTCCATTTTGTCAAGACGGTTACATTTTTCCTTTAATTCTTTTATTGATGAATTCCATCGAAAGATGCATTTATGGTAAAATGAGAGCTTAGAAAAGTTTGTCGGGGAGCCATGTCAGAGGCACTGGGGCAGCCCCTCCATGGATCTCACAGAGGATTTCCTGCAAAGCAAGGCCTGCTCCTCCATTACGATGCACACCTGCACTCCCCTCTTATTCTCAGACTTCATCCAGGTCCTGACGTTTGGCCTGGAAGAGCCGATGAAATCGGTTGAGAGTCATACACGCCTGTTGTGCTTCACTGGCCTGTCTCCTTGGCCTTTCCATCTGGAAGTTTCTGTTTTCCTGCACTCTGAGGGCCCTCATGCTTTTGAAGATTGTTGTTGGCTGCTGTCCAGTTGATTCTGGGTCCTAGCCACGCCACGTGACAGAGTGAAATGTCCCCAGGGGATATTCTTGGCTTTAATCTTTACAGGAGCAGGTCATCTGTTTTTGTCCTCACTCCCCACCCATCCCTCCACCACCCCCTCCTCCCCCCACCCCCAGCAAAACAGCCAGGTGGATTCAAACCATCAAACGTTGGATCAGGAGCTGAATACTGAACTGTACAACCCCAGGGCTCCCCGAAGATTAACTTTTTATCACTCTGTGGCCCTCCTCACGGTGGCCCTATAGGACAGGGCGGGATGCTCACAAACTTTACAGGAGGAAGCCGTTTCTCTTTCTTGCCGAGCAGAGTTGTTGGTGCGTTTGAACCATTTAGTTAGCAGCCAGACCCTAACTAACTGCACCGACAAGGCCCCTTTGAAGATCACAGCCCAACTCTGTAGTAGCATACCCTCCACTAGCCTTCCTCTCGTGTTTCTGCAACATTAGCTTCATTGTAAATATGATCTCAGAGGCAAGAAGAGAAAAATATCTGTCCCAGGACTCTCCTATCAGTGGCCTGATCTGGCTTCAAAAAGCTCATTAAACATTCCATTATCTTTCATTTTCATTTTTCCATGAACTTTTGAAGCCACCTCACATACTGTTGTGTTTTCCTTTATGATGAGGCGCAGCGGCTCTTTTAAGATGGTCACTTTGGGGCCCTTCATGACGAGAAACAGAGAGATGCCCAGTCCTTTTTATTTGTCTCCTCAAGGTGTTTTTCTTTAGTGAGAAATACTTTGCTTGGGTTTCCTTGTTTTGATTTCCTAGAGAGCCCAAAGAAGGAGGATTGCCCTTGGACATTTCTATCAAGCCATCCTCCCTCCAAATGAGAACTCCCGGAGGCTGCACGGACATCAGGCTTCCAGCAGAGGTCAGGCTTGCTCCATCTTCCTGCCGCGGGCTGCAGTATGTGCCTGGAGACGGACTACACCTGCGGCTGCAGGCTCAGGCAGAATTGAACATGAGTGAGTACTGGGAGCGCTTCGACTTCTGCATTTACCTTTAATTATAAATTAAAGGTGATTTTTCCTATGAAGACTTTAATTACTTCCATGTATGAAAATTACTATTCCTTGGCATGGAAATTGCTGAGATAATCTAGGTGGGGGTGGGGGTAGGCGGGTGTTGCCAGTTTTTCCATAGCTTGTGTGCAGTTGAACATAATATTTTTGAGTTTTCATTTCTTTCTTTTTTTAAATTGATAAATCATTTTATTGGGGGCCCTGACAGCCATACAGTCATACATCAACTGTATCAATCCATTTAACAATCCATACATCAACTGTAGCAAACACCTTTGTACAAATGTTGCCATCATTATTTTCAAAACACTTTCTTTCTGCTTGAAACGTGGTATCAGCTCCTCTGAGTTTTTATTTCTTCAATTGTGAAATGACCTGTTCTACAGAGTTGATGTGAAGATTAAATCAGGTAGCAATTTATAAGACCTGGCTGGTTATTTGTTTATTTTTAGAATTAATATTTTATCATAGTTTATAATCAGAGGATAGAGTCCTCCTTCATGGTCTTTATTTTTGTTGTTCTTGTTGATTAAAAACTTGCATGTTTTAATCCAGCATTCTTTGATGCTCACCCTCCTGGCACGATCTCTGAAGACAAAGCAGGTGCATAAACAAATGTGGTGAAAAAAGTGGATGGTGCCCGGCTATCAAAAGCTATAGCGTCTGGGGTCTTAAAGGCTTGAAGTTAAACAAGCGGCCATCTGCTGAGAAGCAACAAAGCCCACATAGAGGAAGCACACCAGCCTGTGCCATCATGAGGTGTCAACAGGATTGGGTAACAGGTATATCAGGAGACCCAAAATAAACAAACAAAATCATATTGTTGAGGACAAGGGGGGTCGGAGCAGAGACCCCTCCAGACCCATCTATAGACAATGGGACATCCCCTCACAGAAGGGTATCAAGGAAGGAATGAGTCAACCAGGGTGCAATATAGCACTGATGAAATACAATATCCCTCTGGTTCTTTGAGGCTGTCTCACTCCCCACCATCATGACCCCAGCCCTGCCTTTCACTGCGGGCTAGAGTGGAGCATATTCACAGATACAGATCATGAGATAGGAGCTCATGATACACAAAATCCAGGAATGGGAATAGGATAAGCAATGCCAGGAGGATACCAGGGCGAGGAGGGGAGGAAGGGGGAACCGATTGCAATGAATGACACATACCCACCCCACCCCGGGGAGGCGGGGCGGTGAACAACAGAACCACGGGGGAAGGGAGACAGTGGTCAGTGCAAGATATGAAAATCATAATTTACCAAGGGTCACAAGGGTGGAAGGGAGGAGAGAGGGAAAAAAGAGGAGCTTATACCAGGGGCTCAAATAAAAAGTAAATGTTTAGAAAATAATGATGGCAAAATGTTTGACACAATTGATGTATGGATTGTTATAAGATTTGTAAGAGCACCCAAGAAAATGATCTTTTAATCATTAAAGAAAAAAATTACATGTTTTAAATAGCCAGTTATGGCTGGTTATGTTTTCCAGAAGCCTAATGAATTGAAATAATTAGCTGTGATGCTAAGTTTTTCCTTGTTAGCGCTAGAAAATGCACCCTTTGGCCCCTTTTCATGAAACAGAAACTTTGGAGTGCATTTGGCTTCACACTGAAGCAACATGACGTGGCTGATTTTAAAGCATTACTTCAAAATCCATGTTTAGCCCGTCCTGTGTGTTAGAGGGGGAGCCCTAGTGGTGTCGTGGTTATGTTGTGTGTCCTGTGTGTTAGAGGGGGAGCCCTGGTGGTGTCGTGGTTATGTTGTGTGTCCTGTGTGTTAGAGGGGAGCCCTGGTGTTGTTGTGGTTATGTTGTGTGTCCTGTGTGTTAGAGGGGAGCCCTGGTGTTGTTGTGGTTATGAAGCGTGTCCTGTGTGTTAGAGGGGAAGCCCTGGTGGTGTCGTGGTTATGCACTGAGCTGCTAATTGCAAGGTCAAGCAGTTAGAAATGACCAGACTGCTCCAGGAGAGACAGATGAGATTCTCTACTCCTATAAAGAGTTACAGTCTTAGTCACCCACAGAACTGATTCTACCCTGTCCTACAGAGTCAAATGATTTAGGATTAACTTGATGGCAGTGAATTTGATGTGTTAAGCAGAGTCCCTCGGTGTGCAAACAATCAGTTAATGCACTAACCTCTTAGTTGGCAGATTGGAGGTTCAAATCCACTTGAGACTCCCTGGAAGAAAGACCTGGTGGTTTGTTGCCAAAAGCCAACGGGGTACAGTGCTTGTCTGACATTCATGGTGTCACCATGGCTGGGACTCACCTGGAAGGCAAAACTGATCTAGGTGTTGGGGATTTCAAAGTAAATGAGCTAGTTAGTCCAGGTGCCTCCTCCCAAGGAACTGGCTGTGGAATGAGTAGGGACAGACAACTAAAGAATCCCCTCATTGTGGTGCCCAGACACGTACTGCAGCGGGCAAAGTGAAACAGTGTGACAGGTCCAGGAGGTTTCTCTGAGGCGGTACTGGTTTCACCAGAGAACCGAGCGATGGCCATGACCCCATCCGTGCAGAAGCATTTCCAAATCAAACTAACAGCACTTAGACATATGCCCTGGGTAATGCTGAGCATGAGGTATGCTTTGATTTCGATGGTTGCCAGGCCTATTACATCTCAGGCATTTTGGTATTCGTTTCTGTAAGACCTTGGGATTATTTATTGGAGAAGATGATGGTTTGTCGCATCTCTTGCCATGGAAGTCATATGTCTTTTGGCATTAAAATCACGTTAAGAGGAGAAACAGGCGGTAACAGACCGATATGATGCTCATCAGGGGACCATAATTCTTTCACTTACACTCTGTGACGTCATTGCTGCCTCATCTAAAATAAGCCTTCATCTGAGCCGCGTGCAGTCTGGAGGGCGGGCAGCAGGACCTTTCTGAAGAGCCAGTCAGCAGACACTAAACATTCTCAAGCCCTTGGTTGCTGAACTGAAAGGAGTTTTACTCCTTTTTTGCTGGAAAGTAATGTTTGCTCAAGTCCTCTTCTGAGTTGGGCAGAGTTGGTTTTAGGAAAAAGTGTCAGGAACAGAGCTGTCATGGAATTTAGGGATAGAAAAGGATAAAGGCTAAGAACAACTGTTGGAAGTTCCACAGACTAGGAGAGACACGTCACCCAGATGAAACTGGCTAGCAAGCTGCCCGGGTTTATGGCGAAATGGGTGAAGGAAGTACTATTTCAGAGACAGACCGTGGGCGCCTGGGTCTCATGAGGTCATTTGCAGCCTCACTGAGCAACATAACCACAGCTGGAATTTGGGCCAGAGCTGAAAACCAGAGGCAGGCAGGTGTGAAAGCCACAGGGTGGTGGTGTCAGCGCTGCTCTTTTTCTGGGACTGGAGGGATGGAGAACTCCTCAGGCATTGACTTGGGCAGCTGTCTGCTCATATTCTCCAACAGTCAATATCAGAGTCGCAAAACCGAAAATATTTTAAACATTGAAGTCAATAAACATCTAGTTTTCACTGGAGGACAGAATCAATCAACCGCTGTGTGCTGGCTTTTATATTGGCTTCATTCATCGGACTTCTGCTCCTTTATACTTTTTACAATATAGTTCACTGAAATGTCTGACAAGGAAACAATCCAAGGTTTGTTCCATAGTGCCCAGAAGCGTATACAAAATAGATTCTTCGATACTTAACAGCTTTAGTGCCCGCCACTGAATAGAGGGGTGAATACACGTGTGCTTAATGCATAAATATCAGACAGCTGAACAGCACTGTGAACTTGAATCAGAATGTATTTTGTAGGAAGTGAGTTAAAAAAACTTTTAGCATTCAATTCTGTTTCAGAGTTTTCTGTTTGTAAGTTTCAAGGGAAATTCTTTTAAGACCAACTATAGTAAACAGGGTTCCTGGTGCTGTAGCGGCTACATGTTCAGCCGCTATCCTAAATGCCAGCTGTTGAACCACCAGCAGCTCTGTGGGAGCCAAACGGGGCTTTCTACTCCCGTGGAAGTTACAGGCTTGTAAACTCACAGGAGCAGCTCTTCCCAGTCCTGGAGAGTCGCCAGGAGTCAAAATTGACAATGGACTTGACAGCAGTGAGTGAGTTAAAACATCACGTTGTCACATTGATTTTCAGGGTATGTAGGTCAATTCCCATGGACCAGAGCTGATTACCGTCAAATCCACAGTATCTTGGGAGTTGCCATTGACTGGATTCTGACCAAGTGCTGGGTTCTTCCCTAAGAGCAATCACTGTTCAAATTGAATTTTTAATCTGGCCCAATGTGTCCACCAGAGGGCAATGTTTCACTGACAATTTGTGTATTGTTTCTGGAAAAAATTGTATGGGATGTCTTCCCACGTCTCCTTTTTAGCTGTGGAAGCTTCCGTTAGAGAATACTGTTTAATTCACTTTAGTGCTGCAGGGACTTGTGGGCACCCCTAGAAGTTAAGCTACATAATTTAAAATTTTCAAAGCTTAAACTTTCTATCAGTTATTTTTAATGCTTAAAATATGTACAAAGTGATGCAATCCGAATACAAATGGCTTGATTCTATGGGCAAGAAATGAGCCTGGTGGTACAGTGGATTATGAGCTGTTCAAAAGCACCAGCTGAACCTTGGGCGCAAGATGAGGCTGTCTAGTTCTGCAAAGACTTAGAGCCTCAGACAACTCCCACGGCAGTTCTGCCCTGCCCTGCCCTGAGGGCTGCTGCCAGTCGGAATCAACTGGGCGGCAATGAGTTTGAGAAGGGTTATAACTTCATTGCATTAATTTGCCTTTGTAAAGGCAAATATTTAGTTGAACGCTTTCTTTTCTCCTGAGTGGAATAAGAGAACATGCTTTATGCTGCTCTTTTCGCTTCATGTGGGGAGTGTCCATTTCCCACAGCTTCCATCAGGTAAGGCTCCTGGGAAATTTGGCCCATGCTAAGAGCCATTCCACTCCCGGGCTTGTGTCCTCTAAGGCCCAATAACAAGATCCATTTTGTTTGCAAATATTGGTAATACGTCAAAGTAGATGTGATTTCTTCAAAATAAAATGAAATGTGAATTTAAGCTTCTATATGCCAGCTAAGGACCCCTGATGGTATAGTAGGTTACTGGCTGGTTTGCTAACTCTAAGGTCAGCAGTTCAAAGCCACCAGCACGGGGCTTTCTATTAAAGAGTCACAGCCTTGGAAACCCACGGGGGCAGTTCTACCCTGTCCTACAGGTCACTATGAGATGCCATCTACTCTGTGGCAGTGAGTTTTTAAAAGATGCCAGCCATCCTGATGAAGACTGTAGCAGAGGCAGTCTGAGGATGCTGACGGCAATGCAGTGACCTTGGCGGGGAGGAAAGACCTCACTTTCTCCCATCCTTAAATATTGGCATTTACAGAATGAGAACGAGAATTCAACTTTATTGTATGTGGATGTTCTGGGAATCTGGGGGAATATCTAACTCTGAAACATTTTGTGAAACGTGTTGTTTTGAAAACACTTCAAGACACTTGCTTCTGGGAGAGTCATCCCCAACCCACTGCCAGCAAGGGAATGCCCAGTCATGTGTGGGGTTTCTGAGGAGCAGAGAGCCTCCTTCCCCTCCCCCTCGCCCCACAGAGCAGCTGGTGTGTTTGAACCACTGACCTTGGGATTAGCAGTCCAGTGCTTACCCAACATTACCACCAGGTTGAGTCATCAGATGATACTAATTAAATGTGTACTTTGGGGTAGACCAATAGCAGTGTTTATCGATTGATAATTCATCATGGCTGTTAGTCTCTTTAAGTATGTTAATGTATTTGGTGGAAATATCTAAGATTTGCTATCGTTGATTTTCTTTAGAACCAATTTCATTGTTTAATCAAAGTCCACAAGCCCAAGCATGTTGCACGTTTTATTGCCAATCCTGTGGTGAAGTCATAATAAAGGACAGGTAAGAAATGTATTGAATGGTAATTAATTTCGTGCCTGGCGGTGGCTTTCTCTTTTACTCTCATAACTTGTGAAGTAATTGCCCAGGGAGCAGTATGTGGCTTGAAAATGAGACCCAGTTACAAGTCCCCTGAAACAAATCAACTACAAAACTCCCACAATCTCAGAACAGCTAGCTTTCCTCAACGTGATACAGGAAAATAGGATGTTGGCATTGAGGGAATATAGGCTCATCCTGTCAGAAGTGCCTGTGCTGATGGCTGCATCACTTCTCTTCTGAAAAAGATAGAATCCATCAACATGGTTGTTGGTTTGGGTTTTTTTCCTCCCATCCCAGCGAATGAGATTTTCTACCTTAAGTACATTTTTCTGACAAGAGAGGCTTACCTCTTTCTTCTGTAGCAAAACTTTTTACTTGAACCATTTGGATCATTCGTTTGGAAATCCATGCTCCGTTTCTCTGCTTTAAAAATTTTTTTTAAATAGTTGCATCTTTATTAGAAAGTCTCAGCTGCCAACTTCGCGTTTCCACCCGCCAGGGGAGCGGACACTCTCACGGCTTCACGATAGTTTGCTCAGGTGCTGCCTTTGTGGGGACTTAGTAGCGGCCATTGCTGCCGTTTTAGAAGCCTGCTTTGCCTGTTTTGCTTCCTTGGCAGCCCTGATAGCCTGTTCTCGGTGGGCCTTTCTAACCTCAGGTTTCTGATTCCTCTCGGCCATTCTGTCAGCAAGAGATGCACCAGGGATGGCCCTCTGGAATTTGACTGCACGGCGGGTTCTTTTCTTCTGAATTTCTTCCGATTGCCCCTTCTTGTGCGTCCTCCTGTAGAGAACAGTCCAGTTTATCTGCCGAGGGTTCCTCTCGGAAAGGAATGCCGATTCGCATTTTTCATTAAGGAGCTGGAAAACCTTTCCATCGGTCCTGGTGTAGCGCCGCCCTTGCCCGGGGTAAAGCTAGTACCTGCTGAAGCTGCACAGTTCGACCTTCATGGCTGCGGCAGCAGAGGGCTGGGGAAGAGGGCGAAGAGCTTCTCTG